AATTCGTGCTTGTAAGCACCTTAATTGTGCATCGAAATGGAATGTCAGTGGATGCGCTGCCACCTTGCTCTGCTTTGATAGAAGTGCTGAGACTGTGTAGGTTGGCAGCCGGCACGCATCACATACCTGCTTTCGCGTGGAGATCACCAACTCTCCACCACAACATCGTCGCCTCCCTACCCAAGATCGAGAGCACATTGTTTAGTGTCAATCCGTCCGTCAGTCGGTGCACGACACCTCATGGTGCATCGACAGAGAAGTAGGATGCGGTGAAGCCTGCTGTCATAAGGAGGGATGCGTACATTCACCAACACACCTGACGTACCGGATGGCATGGATGCCAACGTCACGAGGTTGGGCATTGCAGTACGCCAACGTCTCGCCAAGCATGCATCCATGTGTCGTTCAGTCCATGTGGGAGAATGGTGCAAAGGCATATGGTTATCAGGTCGAGACGCATGTGCACCCACTGCAATGTGACGTCGTGCACGTTTCGGAGTATGGTGGAATTGTGGCCAAGCTAAATTTAAGCACAATGCTGGTGGTGATGGTGATGGTGGTGGGTGGGTGGGTATGACGAATGTGTACGTGTCATAACTCAAGGCTGTGGTAACGTGGTATCTCAGGTAGGGGAATTTCTGTTACTCTCACATTCCTGCCCGAGTGGAGAGTGGCAAGTGGTAGGGTGTAGAAGTGCAATGCGTGGGAACGAGGAAGTGTTGGGGCGAGGAAGTGTGAGGGGAGGGGAGGCAAGGAAGTGACAGTGCATCGACATGCTGTATGGCTCACACGCAGCTTCGCTTCCGCGATCGTGGTGTGTGGAAATCCGAGATTGCGGAATCAGTGCTCCCCATCCTCACCCATTTGTGTTTGTAATGTCAACCCAACTGCTGCTCATCTACTTACAGATGCCCTGGGCAGTTGGTTGGGGATTGCGTTTGAGGCCAGGATGGGCCTCCGTCACTGAGACAATCGCTCGGACCGGCTCGGCTCCCGACCATGCCAGTGGGTCCTTCTCGTGCCATTTTGCGGGTTGATGAGGCAAACACAGCCCCGGTGTGTTGTCTACTGTCGTGTGTAGGACAGCTGAAATTGCAGCACTACACGATCACCGGCACAGCAGTGCCGCAATTGCGTACCTCGCAAAGAGTGCATGGCAGCTCTTAAAGGAGGCCAAGGTGATTGTGGCGGTATGTGAGTGATGCTCGTCAAAGACGATGCATCATGGATCATGAAAGACGATTTGAGGTGGCATCATGAATGGAAATGGGTGTAAATATGGACTTGGATGGCACGCAGTACAGACAGTCGCCGCGTTGACAGCGCAGCAGATGTGGATGCCCCAACGGTCGTAATGCATGCGAGCTCTACTCACGAGAGCATTGACCAAGCGATCCCATGCGCATGAAGGCGATCGACTGTGCTTCAGTGGGGCCACCAACTTCGCTCATGAACTGGACGCGCTGCGTGTAGCGGCTACCGCTTCTCTTCACGAGGACTATTCCACCCAACAGTACGCCTACTGACTGGGCATCGGTAATGATACAGGCGCGCCGACATCGGTGACTATGACGAAATTGACCAAAAACCTTTCGAGTATCCCTCATTCCACACCACCTTCTTTGCGGTCGGATTGAAGTAGGATGGCTGCAGCGGCAAACACTCATTCGAAGGGCTGGGATACCAGGGTTGAGGGGGATACGAGTGTGATCACTTAGCAGAGCAGTGAGGAGCGAGCGCCCATCCCCACCCACTTGCTGTCGCCTCCTCCCAAGTGTAGGCTGCAATGACGCGAAATGTGTCAACAGTTGCGGCTTTAGCTCACTGCCGAGTTGGGTTGTGTGAGAGGAATGTGAAGCATCGTACACAGTGATTGTTTGTATGTTGGGCGCCTAGTGCAGGATGACGTGTGTTGATGGGCTGTGAATAAAGTGTGCGTCAAGTGATGGAAGGAGACCTTGTTAGACTTCATGAGTAATTGTCCTCACTGGCCACTTCCTCAACCTCGCAGTTGGAGGCACGCTCTACGATAGTGAATGAAGTCGGAGGTTGAAGTATGTTCACGACTGAGTTGTCGTTGCATGGGACGTGCATGCACGTCGTGGTAGTTGTGTGATGAGAAGCTGTGAGGGAGAACTGCATTGTGCTGACACAAATGTGTTGATCGGTGCTGACAGAGAACAAGGTGCAAATGCTAGCAGTTGTTGTAAACGCGGTAGCTACTCGCGTAGCGTCTCAGTCTACTCCCTGCCTTCAACGAACTGGCAGTTGGGCAGGTCCGAACAGACGTACATCATGTTATTCCTCCATGGTTGCATTCGTATTGGTCAAAGGTAAGCAGCTCAGCCTCCTACTCTTCCACCGCGTGATGATATGTCGGTGTCAGTTTGTGTGGTGCTACGCCAACCTGCATGCGGCTAGGGACAGCGAGGAGTGCTGCAGCACTCGGAAGATGGTGCGCCACTCGGAGCGGAGTCCCGCCTACAATATCGCATGCATTGAGCGTAAGGTTGTGAAGGACGATAGTTGAAGTGTGGGGAGAGGAGGGAAGGAGGGAAGAATGTGGGTGAGTGAGTGAGTAAGTGGGTGAGTGGGTAGGTGGTTGGGTGGGTGGGTGGGTGGCAGAGGTATGAGGTGTGACAACTTGCAAGCCGCACGTTCGAAGCTGTTACTCAAAGCGTCTATTTCTCACCTGACTTGCAGGAAGGTGGGGAAAATTATGCATTTGTCGACATTGAGAAGGGTGTCGCACCAGTGCTACACCTGTCTCAAGCCAAACCGACCTACCAACAACACGCGGCTTATGCCATGATGGGAGATGGTTATCACCAGAAACGAGGGATGGGAAGAAACGACTTGCTGTTCTTGAGCTAGCTGCTATCGCAACGTCATCCCTTTGCTCGTGCTGCATGGAAGGTGATGGTGAAAGATGCGTCATCGAGGGACACTCCTCTTGCATTGCTCTACACCACTGACTGGATGGTTATACGACACCCAAGTTACATCCGTCGAGGTTGTTTGTCATCCATCACTGCGTGAGCCTCTCAAGTGGAGCACCTGTGATTACCAGTCTGATGTAATGGTCACGCTCGTCAACGCGAGGAACTCATAGTTCTCTCCACGGTCTCTCACCTGAGCTGTGAATGGAGCAGTGGAGGCGTTTCTCCATTGCCTTGTACTTCACTGTGCTAAAGCAC